ACCTAATAGCGATGGCCTCCAACCTAATAGCGATGGCCTCCAACCTAGTAGCGATGGCCTCCAACCTAGTAGCAATGGCCTCCAACCTACTAGCGATGACCTCCAGCCTACTAGCGATGGCCTCCAACCTGCTAGCGATGGCCTCCAACCTACTAGCGATGGCCTCCAACCTAATACATAGCGATGGCCTCCAACCTAGAAGCGATGACCTCCAACCTAATAGCGATGGCCTCCTGTTCCTGGTCTTCCCTGTTTTTCTGTTTGCACAACTCTTTGTCGCACGCGCTGGTTTGTGGTCGCAACATGTGTGCGAGGTGGTCAGCTCACCCGCTGTCTTCCCATCTGTGCTCTTCATCCTCATTTGGCAGGCGGAATGTTGGAAGAGAGAAGTAGAATCCCAAAGCTGTTGAAGTTTTTGCCTCCATATCGTAGATGCTTCCACTTTCCTCCAGATTCTTGCCATCATTTTAAGGCCACGCCAACTGCCGGATCTGCGCAGCTGGCTTGAATATTGAGTGTCAAGTTGCAAGCTATTATACCGGGAACGTTTGACATGTGACTCATGAAAACAAAACTCGTCATAGCTGTTGAACATCTATTCGGAGGGAGGATGGCATATTGCCCCATCCCTTCCTTTATTCCTTCTTTTCTTTCTTTGTTAGCGATGGTCTCCACCCGAGTAGCGATGGCAATGGCCTCCAACCTAATAGTGATGGCCTCCATCCCCGTCCCAAGGATGTTCTACTTCTACACGAATGAATTGCACTTCGCCCCAGAGTTCCTGGGACGATCTCAGTTGGTGGGATCATTGGCTAGCAGCTTGGTCAAAAAAAGGTAAATAAACCGACGAAACATCGAACGAAGCCTCTCGGTCTCAGCCCTTCTCCAGGTTTGGCTGGCATTGTTCTCTACAACCGACAGAGCCTCAGTGGTTGAGCCAACAGCACTGAGAAGCGAAACATTGCTTCGATGAGGCGTGTTCTCCTCGGTGCCTGTGAAAGACTACCTTTTCCGTTCTTGGGTTGAAGGAATGGGCAGGAGATGAAACACATTGAAAGGAATCATCGAAACATTGGATATGAACGCAACAACGAACGATGTGGTCAACCAAAGCCGAAAGATGCCGAAAGTATCTAGAAGGAAAATTGAATGGAGCACGACACTCTTTGATGTGAAAGGAGTGCCGTGCTTGGCAAAAGTACTACTGAACTACTGCTAAGCACTGCTAGGTGTGCAGTCTACAGCTGTTCTGCTGGGATTCCTGCCACTTCTGCTCGTCACGCGCTTGGGCCTGAGACGTTCTGTCCTTTGATCCAATCAGTCAAGTCGAACCCAACGAGCCTCCCAAGCGGCATGTCCTGACAAACCCTTGAGATCCTGTGAGGAACAAACCTGGCGCTTCACATTCCTGATCAAGCCTTTGTACTGGGTGATTTGGATGGAATTGACGACCTGAGAATGCCTGCATTGCTCCGATTGTGTGAGCCATGTGAGCATGAGAGGTGATGATGTGATTCAGACAGTGGCTGGCGTCCAGCGCTTAGAGACACCAGACGGTTCGGGTCAGAATGAAACTCGAGACGTCAGGAGCTGGCTCATATGCCCATTCTGGTCCTTGCTGCACAACTTTGCCCACCAGGGATCGAGGCCGCGGCAAACCGCCACGACGGACCAAAAAGTGAAACAATCGTCTCGCCATCGCCCGCATGTGGGATCCTATAATGTGGAACATAAGGAAAGAAAGAGAAGGTCGAATCAAGACCTATTTTGATGTGATGCGTTTTATGTTTAGTTATGTATGTTTACCTTTTCGAATTGCTACAATTGACAATCTATACGATGCTGACACATGAGATTCGCACCCACTTGCAGGCAACACTCTTTGCGTTGTGACCTCAGCCAGACCGTTTGAGGGACATGTTGTAAAATGTTTATAGAATGTATACTAGTGTGCTTCTTTCACTTTACTGCTTTTGCTTTCGCCGAGCACTCGCGACCGAGATGTGTGTCAGTCTCCATGACATTCTGCTTTCGCATTTGGCTTCTTGAGGCTGTTGATGTCTCTCTTGAACTTGGCAAGCTTCGTGTCATCCAACCTGGGTGCACTCATCACGCATGTCTTGGAGGTGAACGAATCGGCGCGGGTCTCGGAGGTCTCGAATCGGGTTCGGCAGCGGAGAGTGTCCGAGGATTTCCACAACTTGGCCTTGCTGATCTTTTTGTGCAACATCAGTGGCTTGCTGCCCTTGGTGTGCTTCCCAGCGTTGAGGAGAAAAACCTTTCCGTCCTAAGTCTTGGGACTCTGGGACTGCAGGTCTTGCTGCCAATGCTTGGGAAAACACGTCCAGGCCCAGCTTGCTGGTTCTATTCTGGATGACGTGTGTTTGTGTGTCTTGCATGTGTCACGGTTTGTGGGGAGATCATTCTAGATGTTAATTGTGACGAGAAGTCTCAGGCATCACACAAGCATCGTGAGAGAAAACGCACATCCAACAGGACAAATCGGTTTCAAGCAGAGCATCTCTTTCGCTTCTTTTCAGCCGCCTTTGTCAGTGGCAGAGTCGGAAGGCTCCGTTCGTTTTCTGCTTCATCTGAAGCACCTTTGACCTTTTTGAAAGTGGTGCCGTTTTGAAAGTGGGGCATTAAGATCCTTTGAGGCCATCGGAATGAAGTGCCCAAACTCCTCAAAAAAAGGTCAAACGAGAATGAGAAGCTAGCAGTTTAAACAATTTCGGCTCTCAGTCATGTTGATGCCGAAGCATCAGCTGCTTTGTCGGTGGCTTGATGCCACAATTTTTGAAATGGATTTTTCAAGGGAGGCCTGTCTACAAGATGAGTCAGTCACAGGGAGGTATAAAGGAGCACAGCAAGTGAGCAAGTGCATTCAAAGGAACCAGAAGGCCTGAGTAGAGAGGTCATCCAAATGCCAGCGTTCCAAAGCAAGAACTGCGGTCGCGACTCACTTCAAGCGCCTAGGGCACTTTGCCCCCCATTTTTATTTACATTTTCCGCATCAGTCGGTGGCCAGTGTTCCCTCTTCCTGCGGGAGTTTCACAATCTAAGAATGTGCATTTGATAGCTGTCATCTAAGCCTGCAAGCATCGAGCTCAGTAGATTTGCAACCTGGTTCACGTCAAGGATCCATCTGGTAACTATGACTTTAAGGATTTTTTTTTGCCACAGCAAGTGGCTTTTGCGGAAGCACTTGGCCACCGCTGGGCTGCTTGAGCCCTCGAAGTCAGGGCCAATCTGACGAATTTTCGCGCGAAAACGGACAACGAATGCTTCGCCTGCCGAATGTTTGGCTTGTCGCTTGAGGAAAGCTGGGCGATTCGGTTGGTTTTGACAGTCAGTCCTTCGTATTTTTTCTTGAAAGGTCTGGTGCTTCCCCGCAAACATCCACCCATCCACCCGGTCGAATTGGACTTCAGCGGGAAATGCTCTCAGCGGTCGATTGACCAGAGGTCGATGGGTTGCTGGGATCCAGAGGTCGATTGCGGAGCGCATCTTTGTTCAAGTTAGTGTCAGGTCTCTTGGAAGTTCAGAGCGCCATGGATTCAATGGGCCGGGAAGTGGGTCAAGCGCTGGCAGCACAACAAATGACAAGTCCCTAAGCCAAGTCTCGAGAAGCACCAGCTATGATTTTTACATCCTTCAACCACTATATAGTAGCTTCTAGCTACTAGTCGTAATGCCCTTGATACTAGTGGCGATGCCCTTGTTACTAGTAGCTTCTAGCTACTAAGTGCTGAGGTTATACAGCTTCATGGTTCTGATCTGAGCAGCAACATGTGAGTCGTGAGTTTGCTATGTGCACAAAGTCAGTGTTCCAAAGTCAGTTTGGGATTGGAGGATTCGGGCCTGTTTGAGCGCCACTTGTCTGAGGCGAGAGTACTTGAAGCTGCTGATGCTGCCCAAATTCAATTCCGCTGTCATGTGCAACGTGAGACCAACTGACTGGAAGGCCTGGTGAGCTGATGACGGAAAGCGCTGTAGCGCTTGGAAGTATTACCGAAAGGGAAGGG